CTTCATAACTCTTCTCCTCTGATCTTCATAACTCTCCTCTGATCTTCATAACTCTTCTCCTCTGATCTTCATAACTCTTCTCCTCTGATCTTCATAACTCTTCTCTTTTGATCATCATAACTCTTCTCCTCTGATCTTCATAACTCTCCTCTGCTCTTCATAACTCTTCTCCTCTGATCTTCATAACTCTTCTCCTCTGATCTTCATAACTCTTCTCTTTTGATCATCATAACTCTTCTCCTCTGATCTTCATAACTCTCCTCTGCTCTTCATAACTCTTCTCCTCTGACCATAACTCTTCTCCTCTGATCTTCATAACTCTCCTCTGATCTTCATAACTCTTCTCCTCTGACCATAACTCTTCTCCTCTGATCTTCATAACTCTCCTCTGCTCTTCATAACTCTTCTCCTCTTAACTTCATAACTCTCCTCTGCTGTTCATAAGTCTTCTCCTCTGATCTTCATAACTCTCCTCTGCTCTTCATAACTCTTCTCCTCTGACCATAACTCTTCTCCTCTGCTCTTCATAACTCTTCTCTTCTGCTCTTCATAACTCTTCTCCTCTGATCTTCATAACTCTTCTCTTCTGATCATCATAACTCTTCTCCTCTGATCTTCATAACTCTCCTCTGCTCTTCATAACTCTTCTCCTCTGATCTTCATAACTCTCCTCTGCTCTTCATAACTCTTCTCCTCTGACCATAACTCTTCTCCTCTGCTCTTCATAACTCTTCTCCTCTGATCTTCATAACTCTTCTCCTCTGACCATAACTCTTCTCCTCTGCTCTTCATAACTCTTCTTCTCTGCTCTTCATAACTCTCCTCTGATCTTCATAACTCTCCTCTGATCTTCATAACTCTTCTCCTCTGCTCTTCATAACTCTCCTCTGCTCTTCATAACTCTTCTCCTCTGATCTTCATAACTCTTCTCCTCTGATCTTCATAACTCTTCTCCTCTGATCTTCATAACTCTCCTCTGCTCTTCATAACTCTTCTCCTCTGATCTTCATAACTCTTCTCCTCTGATCTTCATAACTCTCCTCTGATCTTCATAACTCTTCTCCTCTGATCTTCATAACTCTCCTCTGATCTTCATAACTCTTCTCCTCTGCGCTTCATAACTCTTCTCCTCTGATCTTCATAACTCTTCTCTTTTGATCATCATAACTCTTCTCCTCTGATCTTCAAAACTCTCCTCTGATCTTCATAACCCTTCTCCTCTGCTCTTCATAACTCTCCTCTGATCTTCATAACTCTTCTCCTCTGCTCTTCATAACTCTTCTCCTCTGATCTTCATAACTCTTCTCCTCTGATCTTCATAACTCTCCTCTGCTCTTCATAACTCTTCTCCTCTGACCATAACTCTTCTCCTCTGATCTTCATAACTCTCCTCTGATCTTCATAACTCTTCTCCTCTGACCATAACTCTTCTCCTCTGATCATCATAACTCTTCTCCTCTGCTCTTCATAACTCTTCTCCTCTGACCATAACTCTTCTCCTCTGATCTTCATAACTCTCCTCTAATCTTCATAACTCTTCTCCTCTGACCATAACTCTTCTCCTCTGATCTTCATAACTCTCCTCTGATCTTCATAACTCTTCTCCTCTGACCATAACTCTTCTCCTCTGATCTTCATAACTCTCCTCTGATCTTCATAACTCTTCTCCTCTGACCATAACTCTTCTCCTCTGATCTTCATAACTCTCCTCTGCTCTTCATAACTCTTCTCCTCTGATCTTCATAACTCTTCTCCTCTGATCATCATAACTCTTCTCCTCTGCTCTTCATAACTCTTCTCCTCTGCTCTTCATAACTCTTCTCCTCTGATCTTCATAACTCGTCTCCTCTGATCTTCATAACTCTCCTCTGATCTTCATAACTCTTCTCCTCTGCTCTTCATAACTCTCCTCTGATCTTCATAACTCTTCTCCTCTGATCTTCATAACTCTTCTCCTCTGATCTTCATAACTCGTCTCCTCTGATCTTCATAACTCTCCTCTGATCTTCATAACTCTTCTCCTCTGCTCTTCATAACTCTCCTCTGATCTTCATAACTCTTCTCCTCTGATCTTCATAACTCTTCTCTTCTGATCATCATAACTCTTCTCCTCTGATCTTCATAACTCTTCTCCTCTGATCATCATAACTCTTCTCCTCTGCTCTTCATAACTCTTCTCCTCTGATCTTCATAACTCTTCTCCTCTGATCTTCATAACTCTTCTCCTCTGATCTTCATAACTCTTCTCCTCTGCTCTTCATAACTCTTCTCCTCTGCTCTTCATAACTCTCCTCTGCTCTTCATAACTCTTCTCCTCTGCTCTTCATAACTCTTTTCCTCTGATCTTCATAACTCGTCTCCTCTGATCATCATAACTCTTCTCCTCTGCTCTTCATAACTCTTCTCCTCTGATCTTCATAACTCGTCTCCTCTGCTCTTCATAACTCTTCTCCTCTGCTCTTCATAACTCTCCTCTGATCTTCATAACTCTTCTCCTCTGATCTTCATAACTCTTCTCCTCTGATCTTCATAACTCGTCTCCTCTGATCTTCATAACTCTCCTCTGATCTTCATAACTCTTCTCCTCTGCTCTTCATAACTCTCCTCTGATCTTCATAACTCTTCTCCTCTGATCTTCATAACTCTCCTCTTATCTTCATAACTCTTCTCCTCTGATCTTCATAACTCTTCTCTTCTGATCATCATAACTCTTCTCCTCTGATCTTCATAACTCTTCTCCTCTGATCATCATAACTCTTCTCCTCTGCTCTTAATAACTCTTCTCCTCTGCTCTTCATAACTCTTCTCCTCTGATCTTCATAACTCTTCTCCTATGATCTTCATAACTCTTCTCCTCTGCTCTTCATAACTCTTCTCCTCTGCTCTTCATAACTCTCCTCTGCTCTTCATAACTCTTCTCCTCTGCTCTTCATAACTCTTCTCCTCTGATCTTCATAACTCTTCTCCTCTGATCATCATAACTCTTCTCCTCTGCTCTTCATAACTCTTCTCCTCTGCTCTTCATAACTCTTCTCCTCTGCTCTTCATAACTCTTCTCCTCTGATCTTCATAACTCTTCTCCTCTGCTCTTCATAACTCTTCTCCTCTGCTCTTCATAACTCTCCTCTGCTCTTCATAACTCTTCTCCTCTGCTCTTCATAACTCTTCTCCTCTGATCTTCATAACTCGTCTCCTCTGATCTTCATAACTCTCCTCTGATCTTCATAACTCTTCTCCTCTGCTCTTCATAACTCTCCTCTGATATTCATAACTCTTCTCCTCTGATCTTCATAACTCTTCTCCTCTGATCTTCATAACTCGTCTCCTCTGATCTTCATAACTCTCCTCGATCTTCATAACTCTTCTCCTCTGCTCTTCATAACTCTCCTCTGATCTTCATAACTCTTCTCCTCTGATCTTCATAACTCTCCTCTGATCTTCATAACTCTTCTCCTCTGATCTTCATAACTCTTCTCTTCTGATCATCATAACTCTTCTCCTCTGATCTTCATAACTCCTCTGCTCTTCATAACTCTTCTCCTCTGCTCTTCATAACTCTTCTCCTCTGCTCTTCATAACTCTTCTCCTCTGATCTTCATAACTCTCCTCTGATCTTCATAACTCTCCTCTGCTCTTCATAACTCTTCTCCTCTGATCTTCATAACTCTTCTCCTCTGATCTTCATAACTCTCCTCTGATCTTCATAACTCTTCTCCTCTGATCTTCATAACTCGTCTCCTCTGCTCTTCATAACTCTTCTCCTCTGATCTTCATAACTCTCCTCTGATCTTCATAACTCTCCTCTGCTCTTCATAACTCTTCTCCTCTGATCTTCATAACTCGTCTCCTCTGATCTTCATAACTCTTCTCCTCTGCTCTTCATAACTCTTCTCCTCTGATCTTCATAACTCTTCTCCTCTGCTCTTCATAACTCTCCTCTGATCTTCATAACTCTTCTCCTCTGCTCTTCATAACTCTTCTCCTCTGCTCTTCATAACTCTTCTCCTCTGATCTTCATAACTCTCCTCTGATCTTCATAACTCTCCTCTGCTCTTCATAACTCTTCTCCTCTGATCTTCATAACTCGTCTCCTCTGATCTTCATAACTCTTCTCCTCTGCTCTTCATAACTCTCCTCTGATCTTCATAACTCTTCTCCTCTGATCTTCATAACTCTTCTCCTCTGATCTTCATAACTCGTCTCCTCTGATCTTCATAACTCGTCTCCTCTGATCTTCATAACTCTCCTATGATCTTCATAACTCTTCTCCTCTGCTCTTCATAACTCTCCTCTGATCTTCATAACTCTTCTCCTCTGCTCTTCATAACTCTCCTCTGCTCTTCATAACTCTCCTCTGATCTTCATAACTCTTCTCCTCTGATCTTCATAACTCTTCTCCTCTGATCTTCATAACTCTCCTCTGATCTTCATAACTCTTCTCCTCTGATCTTCATAACTCGTCTCCTCTGCTCTTCATAACTCTTCTCCTCTGCTCTTCATAACTCTTCTCCTCTGCTCTTCATAACTCTTCTCCTCTGCTCTTCATAACTCTTCTCCTCTGATCTTCATAACTCTCCTCTGATCTTCATAACTCTTCTCCTCTGATCTTCATAACTCTTCTCCTCTGCTCTTCATAACTCTTCTCCTCTGATCTTCATAACTCTTCTCCTCTGCTCTTCATAACTCTTCTCCTCTGATCTTCATAACTCGTCTCTGCTCTTCATAACTCTTCTCCTCTGCTCTTCATAACTCTTCTCCTCTGATCTTCATAACTCTCCTCTGATCTTCATAACTCTTCTCCTCTGCTCTTCATAACCCTTCTCCTCTGATCTTCATAACTCTTCTCCTCTGCTCTTCATAACTCTCCTCTGATCTTCATAACTCTCCTCTGATCTTCATAACTCTCCTCTGCTCTTCATAACTCTCCTCTGATCTTCATAACTCTCCTCTGATCTTCATAACTCTCCTCTGATCTTTATAACTCTTCTCCTCTTCCTCAGGCCTTCGGGTTCATGAGTCGCGTGGCTCTTCAGGCTGAGAAGATGAGCCATCACCCCGAGTGGTTCAACGTTTATAACAAGGTATTGCTGAGCGTCCAGCAGCGGCTCATTGCCATGACACAGAGAGGCCACACACAGACACACACACACACACACACACACACACACACACAGACAGACACTCACACACACACAGACAGACACACACACACACACACACACACACACACACACACACACACACACACAGACACACACACACACACACACACACACACACACACAGACAGACACTCACACACACACAGACAGACACACACACACACACACACACACACACACACACACACACAGACACACACACACACGCACACACACACAGACAGACACTCACACACACACAGACAGACACACACACACACACACACACAGACACACACACACACACACACACACACACACACACACACAGACAGACAGACACTCACACACACACAGACAGACACACACACACACACACACACACAGACACACACACACACACACACAGCTTTGTTTTTGTGATATATGAGGACATTCCATAGGCGTAATGACTTTTATACTGGACAAACTGTATATTCTATCCCCCTACACTGCCCCTATCCCTAAACCTGCCCATCACACACACACACACACACACACACACTGCCCCTATCCCTAAACCTACCCATCACAGGAGACATGCTGCATTTTTACATTTAAAAAAAAACATTGTTTTTTATGTTTTTTAAGCTATTTGAAATATGAGGACTCATGCAATGTCCTCATATATCACGTGTAAGTTGTAATACCAGTGTAATATGCATGTCATTATACACATTTGTGTCCTCATATATCACAAAAACAAACACACAGACACACACACACACACACACACACACACACACACACACACATAGTGTCAGGTCTTGAGCATAGAGCTGAAAATTAAATGTCCAGCTCAAACTGTGGTGAATCTTGAATGCTTTAGAGCGACAGACTGAAGTTTGATCTCTTCTCAAACACGACACTTGGCAGATTATTGCTGACGTGAAAAAAGTTACAGAATTTTAAGTTTGCTGTTATAAAAAATGCAGAAAAATAATATTTTCAAAATCATGTTTTACTCTTAAACTGCAAGAAAATCAGAGTATTGAATCTAAAGTGGCGTTCCGCATGTGAGTCTGATGTCAGTAAACGAGCGTTCAGTGAGAGTGTGTTCGGCTGCAGTTCCACACGCCTCCACTAGAGGAAACTCTCTCAGACCGCGAGAAACACAAGTGAGACTGTTGTTTTCAGGACCATTTAACCTGTTCCAGTCATGACCATGATGTTTTTGTCAAATTTTTTAAATTCTAAAAAATCAAAAGGTAAAATGTTTCGGTCAAAAATGACAGAAAAGCACCAGAGGGTTAAAAATGCTGGAGAAATATAAAACTACTCATATTTGAAGTTTAGTGCATATATGTATATACACACAAACATTTCAGTATTTTGAGAGTGTCGGGATACAAGCTTCATGGGAGTGGGCGGAGCTAACGAGATCTTTTTGCTTGTTTCGACTCTGATTGGTGGAAGGTTTGCCACGGCATCATGGGTAATGTAGTTCTTCTCCAGGAAGTCTGCTGTTAAACGGTTATTTTAAAAATAAAGAGGGCTGACGGCTTCAACAGAAGCTAATACTGTGGCTGAACAAGCTCGTAGCTCACAGTAGGGCTGTTTATAAGCTGTTTATAAGCTGTGTCTGGGCAGTAGTGATGGGATACTAGAGTTTCTCTGTCTTGCAGGTCCAGATCACGTTATCCACACACGACTGCGGAGGACTGTCGAAGAAGGACATCCGACTGGCCAAATTCATCGATAAAGTCGCTCTGTCCCTGTAGATCTGAGCCACGCTTATCTACAACATATTACAGATGCTTTATTGTATTCCCGAGAATAGGGAAAGAGGAGAGCTTCATTCACACAGCTGTGCTTAACATCATGGATCTGCTAAATGCATATTAAAAAGAGTGTAGATTAATTTCATATTCGTTTAATATCTGGTCATTTGTTTAGGTGCATTTTTACATATGAAAAATGTGCATTTCTTTTTTTTATAAAGTAGGATAAACGGGAGAGTGATGATTCATTCTCTACACTAGTGTCATCATTATTCAGTTCTCTTCATTATCTGTGTGACATCATCAGACATGAGATGAGTTCATCTCTACAGAGTGTTTATTCAGATCATGTTTGTCTCGGTGCAGTCGATCAATAATCTGCTGAATATTGTTATTAATAAAACTGTGGTTCACTATCAGAGCTCGACACACACATCTGTAGTTCACACAGATTCACACACATTAGGGGGTTCGAAGAATTATGATTTTTACATATACACACATTATTCTGTGTATAAAATATGTTATTAGAATAATAAAATATTATACATGCAAAAATAAGCATTAGTAATAAATGTCTGTTGTAATGAACACACACTCAATCCCTGTGATTTACATATTCATCAATCCTGTGATCATGTGGTTCACATCACTCTTGTGACTGCATTTATTTGAAATTAATAAAAACTATTTTTTAAAGGATTTCAAGATTATTTCTCGTTAGACATTTTAACAAATGTACTGATGACCATGATTAAATATGGTAATTAAGTGCAATTTAACAGTTTACTTCTCAATTAATATGTAATTATAAAATGTTATTCTGTTTGTGTGATTTATCAATTTCAGAGATTACATTATTTAAACAAGACTACACTTTAAAATCATAAAATGAATAAAATGTAATTTAACCATTATTCAACATTTATTTTGTTTGCTGTGTGATACATAAGGAATTTTATAAATATGCTTTGACCATAAAATACAGCACGAACGCACCACACATAATCATAAAGGTATTTTATATGTGTATATCTTCAGCATCATGAGACTGAAAATTATAAATTTAAAGGCTTTTGCATTCTCCCATAAACTTTGTTCATTCTCAAAACTTTCGAGTTTATGTGAATGAATGGGAAACGTGTGAGAGAACGCAAAAGCATTAAAATATATAATTTTCCTCCCATCTCATATTTTGTCCATCACCATGTCCCTTAAGGTTGTTTACAGGGAACTGCATACAGAAGGGTGTGTGTGTGTGTGTGTGTGTGTCTGTGGTTCTCACAGTGACCCACACCGACTCTTGCACCTGCTGTTCTTTAGTTCCCTACGGTGTGACATGATCGCTTTAGAGCACTGTCTGCAGTTGATCATCTGTATAACTGTGTCTGGATCAGGGGGACCCAAACGGCACACGGGGAAGATGAATTACCTGATCCTCGATAGCAAAACCTGATTTTCAAATCTAGATCATTGTGCCAGAGCAGTTTAACCCTATCCCTACTGGACTGTGTGATGTGTGTTCCTGCTTCTCTTATTCCTGGTCCAGGCTAAAGACTGGCCCTGCTTCAGGTGACCTTTGACCCTTGGCTGTGAGGAAATTAAAGATGCATTGCAAGGTGATTTTGAGTTGAAAATCAATTAAAGTTTCTGGCTGATACAAACAACAATATACAAAAACAAGACTTTACAGTGATCATTTCCACATTCGGGTTAGAGATCTGCGCTGATTAAACCGAATGCTGAATATGTCAAACTGTTCGTCTTTAACGCACTATAAGGGCGAGGACTATTACACGAAGAAGACGGACGCAACTACATCGCAGTTCAGTTCATTACGACAGTTTATTGAATTAACACTGAGAGAAACACTGACTGAACTCAGTCCTTCAGTGTGTCTATCCTCACTGACTCCGCATCCAATCCGGATCGAGCTCTTCTATCCTCACTGACTCCGCATCCAATCCGGATCGAGCTCTTCTATCCTCACTGACTCCGCATCCAACCCGGATCGAGCTCTTCAGTGACGCCGGTTTAACGAACCCGCAGTTCCCGCTTCTCCTCGTCATTGCTGCCTGCTATTTGGGTTTATTGTTATTTATCCTCCAATTGCCTATTTTACTTTTTCATAAATGTTCTTTTTTTATCGATTGGTCCAAACCTCCTGAATTATGTGTTTTTACAGTGTTAAAATCATATGTCCCAGACGTGCAGATATAAAGACAGAATAGGCTAGTGTTTGTTTCGTATATGATAGCGCAAGTGATGTTATCTTTATATATCAGTCCTGTCAGTAGTGTGTATTATGTGCGGACAGGCCTATAGCATCTCAATGTTCTCCATTTGCAAATTTCCTCATTGCACTAAAATACAACTTCAGAAATGCATGTAGTTTTGCATTTGGAATGTAATTGATTCTCCAAATTCTATACAGGTTTCCCAGCAGAACAGAAGAAGGTGTCTGTGAGAAATTATAGGGTAGTTTCTCCGTCATTATCCTGAACGGATGAAACTCACTCAGAGTCAGTAACTCTTTCTCCTTCGGCTCGGTTAATCATTCCCTCAAGACATGATAATAGCGGGTTTGTGAGTCTATAAAACGCCTTCATGGCGAGACTGCTTTTCTGCAGCGTTACTTACATATGTCAGTATTTTAAATTACGTGTCTTTATGTTGTGTAAATTATTATGCATTGCCTACATTTCTTCATTGTGGTTTATATTTTATTTTTTAAATATGTTTTTTTATAATGATCTTTCTCCTCAGCTGTATGTTTTAATTTATTTGTTTTTTTTTTCGTTAAATGTCTTTAGCAAATATATATGTTATATTTGTCTCACATGGGGTTATTACGGATAACATCTCATGCTGTTATCTAAAAGGATGAATCAAAATATTTTTTTTAAAAAGAACATTGGATATTGTCGATTAGCCTATCGGCGATTCACTTCTTATTGCTTCTTGTAAATTTCATGTGATTTCAGTTTTCCGCATTGCTGTTTTTAATGTGTTTTTTGCCTTTACAATTACTGTTATAGTTTTTCTCTTATCGACGTTTCTATCTTCCTCTTCAAACCTTTATGTTTGTTGTGACAGAATTATTGCATAATATCTCGCATTACAAAGTACAGTTGCGATTGCACTTCATAACAGTCTTCTGATGTTTACACCGATGGATTATGATTAAACATACACGTCGCTTAAATATTAAGTGCAATATTTCAAGCAAAATATTGTGTTTCATTGCCATAACTTTGGTTTTCATACAGCTCAATGATGCACGAACTGGGTAAAGACAACGGGGGAAAAAACGTTTATTTTTTTAAAGGTAGAGAATTTTTCTATTTTCCAAAATAGTGATGATTTATTAATGAATTTCGTGTAAAGAGTAGGACATATGCGCCAAAGAAAATATCACATTATTGTTATTATATTGTAAAAGAAAAAAACATTTGCGGAGCTGTTTCTTCGACTGTAGTGTAGCCTATATAGTCAAGTCGATTCAGTGATTAAAAAACAGGTAGGGCCTAATTTAGATTTTACATTTTATATTAGCCGATTAAATATTTTTACAGTGACTGATAGTTTTGTTATTGTTGTTTTAATATTTGAATCTAATTCTTTTTTAATAGGTAACGTTAATGTTAAAATCTTGGATGTTCCACGTCATGTAAAATATAGTTAAGAGAACACATTTTCACATCAATATAGTGTCGTTTTTGTTGTTTTACTTTGAACTATTCAAAGTATTTTGAATAGTTCGGTGAAGGCAATAAATGAGCGTAATAGCCTACCACTAAATATAACCATGACCCACTCGGTTATTATAACCCCGCTACACTAGAATGCCTAATTGAGACCGTGTGGCCATTAATGTTCATTAAGGAGAAGGTTCAGCTTTAATTGAAGGACACATAGAAGGTGTATTTCTTAAGAGCTGATGAAGATGGATTTTGAATAATGAATTAAACATGTTGAAGTGACATGCATTGTCTCCTTATCATAAGCGATTAGAATAGCAGTCTGTGCCTGACTTCATATCAGTGATTGATTAATCAGCTGTTGAGATAAATTAACTAAAGAAACTAATCAAATACTGCACACATCATATCATAATTAAAGCGGCAGCCTTTTCTGCTTAAAATTAATTAAAATGGCAATAAACCTCGAAACAATTACGGAAATATTTCCTATTTTGTTCGATGCGCGATTTTTTCGGTAATCACTTTGTATTCGTTATGATATTTAAATCATAACTCTAATTTAGAATTTACAGGACAATTCGAAGGGAGAAAAAGAATCATGTGAATAACTAGAATATAGGCTACTTTCGTCAGAATCTGTTCAAACACATCTTGCAGTGTTATTTTATTGTTCCTCGAGTTTAGGATACTAAAATAAATAATTCTTCTGCTGAAGTGCTTTCGGGAATTATTGTAATATGTGAATTATTATAATCGCTCGTTTGCGTACACCTGCACGCGATTACACGAGTTTCGCTGTGTGTGTTCGCCAGATTCTCGGTTCTGTCTTTGTCCTCCTCGGCAGGTTTGTTCACTTTCTTCCAGACTCTTGTTTGGATTGGGGAATGAATGAGTTTAGCGCGTCCTTGAGAGGCATGTCGGCATTGTGAACTCATTCTAGTCTAAACCTGAGGAAGTGACCATTAACACGGGCCTCGACCTTTGGGGGAATTAAAGGCGTTATTATCAGTGGAAAAGGATCAGCAGAATTAGGGAAAACATCAGTTACGACAGACCTTCTCCTTCATATCATCTAAATGCACCTAAACACACACATGCCGATAAAAACAGTCACTTAACGTGGCAAACCGTGATAAGGAATTGATTTTCAAGTTTGCCTTTCTCTCTTTCATCCTAAAGGTAGATTTGGATATAATTGGAAATCATCTAGTAGTGTAATCAAGCAATGTGATGGAGAAAAAAACAAGGCAAATGGAAGATATTGTCAAATATCATATATGGGCATATATTACGATGTCTAGCTTAATATATTGAAGAGTTGAACTTGCGCGGA